CCCCTCGCCTCCCCATCGCCGGCCTCGGTGTGCGCCCCCCCTTACCCATCACCTCCCCATCTCTGTCCTCGGTGTGCGCCCCCCTTACCCCTCGCCTCCCACACTGAGGCTGGAGCCCGGTGCGCCCTCAGCAAGCACAGAAGGCAGAGCTGGGGCTGGCTGGACCCTCATGGAGCCCAGGGCACGGAGCCCCCAGTCAGGCCCCCTGTGGAAGCTTGTACTTTGCTTGCTGTGATTTCAGGACAGGCCTCCCTCCAGAGCAGCCTCCTCATGGCAGACTTAGTTGAAGCTGTCTGCTTTTACCAGCCCGGCCTTAGGCCACGTCCTCAGCTCAGGTGGTTGGCTCATCCTGGCTAAGTATACTTGCCTTCGGGGTTTTCTCCGTGGCTTCCTTTCAGTGAAGTTTCAGTACGGTGAGATGGGAGCAGCACTTCTGAACTCAGGGTCCCCCAGCTGAACGGGTATGCAGTCAAACTCCATGTGCTTCCAGGTTCAGTTGAGTAAACCTCTTTGCACTACTTCTGAACTGAGGAGAGCCTGTGCCTCCCAAGCCTGAAGGGAGGGTAGGGGAGCACTGCAGGCCATCGTGGTAGTGGGAAGAAAACCTTGGGCATCAGTTGGGAATGCAGTGTGTCCCTGCATTGCATAGCTGTCGCAGGGGTGACCTTAGGGGTTTGTGGTCATTGTTTCCTTGTTTACTAGGAACTCACCAGGCGTCTGGGACAGGCCATTTGTTCTTGGCCTCCTTCCTTTAGGGAGAGTTCCCTGCCTGCGCCAGCCCCCGCCCCCTGCGGCCTCCTGACTTCTGACGCCCTCCCGCCCTGGCCTCCAGCCACTGCCCTGGGTGTCTGTTTGCTCTGCCTTCTAGTCCCCATATCTCTCTGTCTTGACACGTTCATATCTTTTTGTTAAAAAAGCAAATGCAGTTTCTGTCCACATGCACAAGAATGGAGTTGGACCCTTACTTCACATCACATACAAAAAGCTGGATCAGGGACCGAAATGTAAGATGTAAGACATTGAAACTCTTAGGGGAGAACGGAGGACACTGGACTTGGCAGTGATTTCTTGGATGGGACACCAGAATCCAGCAACTGGACTACTTGAGAATGAAACGTTTTGTGCATCGAGAGGCACTGTCCACAGAGTCAGAGGCCACCCACAGAGGGGAGAAAATGTTCGCAAATCACGAGTCTGATCATGGATTAATGTCCAGAATACATAGGGTGCTCTTGAAACTCAAGAACAAAAAAGAACTTTATTCAGAAACGGACAAAGCTCTGGAACAGACATTTCTCCAGAGAAGGTGCACCAATGGCCACCAAGCCCGTGGGGTACGCTCAGTGTCACGAATAGAGAAGTACAAATCAGACCTACAACGATGGGGATGGGTGCTCTCCAAAACCAGAAACAGACACACCGGTGAGCCTGCACATCGTTGGCGGGAATGGAAAATGGTGCAGTCACTGGAGAATGAGTATGGGTGTTCCTACAAAAATTAAAAATAGAATTACCATATGGAGCTGCAATTCTCCTTCTGGGTGTTTGCCCCAAAGAACTGAAAGCAGGGTCTCCAAGAGATCTTGTTCACCCACGCTCACTGCGGAATTACTCACAACAGCTACAATATGGAAATAACCCAGGTGTCCATGGACAGATGAAGACAGAAGAACGGACATACGAAACGTGGCCCACCCATACAGTGGAAGGTGACACCTGCTCCACCGGGTTTGGACCTTGAGGACATCATGCTGAGCGAAATAAGCCAGCCCCCAAAAGACAAACACTGTGTGATCCACTTTTTTATGAGATGCCTAGAGGAGTCAAAATCATAGAGACAGAGAATTGGGGGGGGTGGACAGAGGGGAGTCAGGGTTCAGTGGGCACAGAGTTTCAGTTCTGCAGCATGAACGGGGTTCTACAGATGAATGTGGTGAAGGTTGTAGGACATTATGTCTGTATGTAGTACCAGCCAAAAGTGGTTAGAGAGTAGATTTTATGTTATGTGTATTTTTTTAAAAAGTTTTTTTTTATTTATGTATTTGACGGAGAGAGACACAGCGAGAGAGGGAACACAAGCAGGGGGAGCGGGAGAGGGAGAAGCAGGCTTCCCGCGGAGCAGGGAGCCCGATGCGGGGCTCGATCCCAGGACCCTGGGACCATGACCTGAGCTGAAGGCAGACACTTAATGACTCAGCCACCCAGGCGCCCCTGTTATGTGTATTTTAACACAAAAGAAGTTGAAAAGAAATCCTATCTCTAAATGGATATAAGTGTGCTAGCCTGGATTGGATCCTGGAAGAGAAAAAGGCTGTTAGTGGAAACACCGGTGAAATGTCAGAAGAGTGTGGTGGTGGGTTGCTAGTGCGGCGGCGCGCAGGCCTCTTAGGTGCACGGACGGGGTGTGGCTTGTGGCAGCTCTGGTCTGCCTGCTCCTTTTCTGTAAATGTACAGTTATTCCAAAATAAAACCTTTATTTGAAAAAAAAAAAAGCCCAACAAATGCATCCTTCATCTCTGGGGAATGAGCGCCCCAGCTCCACCCTGGCCTCAGGTCACGGAGCACCCCGTGTGCAAGGCCCTGTTGCCCATAGCGGAGTCCATGTTCCGGAGATGGAGGGCACCAGCTGGTGTCTGCGTGTCTGCCATGACCCCGGCCACAGCGTGCCCCAGCTGGTCTGCTTTCTGCCGTGCTGCTGGAGTCCTGCCTCCGGGGCCGCTTCTCGCCCAGGTCTCCCATGTCCCCAGGAGCCCAGGTGCGCAGGCAGTGCCAGGGGGAAGGGAAGCAGCTGTGGGGGTGGCACAGATGGGCTGAGCGTGGAGGTCAGCCCCGCGGGTCCCCACCCTCAGGACCCGCAGGAGGACGTGCAAACACAGTTTACGTCAGACTTTATTTTCTAAAAGGACTCGGGCCAGCTTTCTCATTTTGTTCAAAATAAAGGATTCCTGTCTTCCTAAACAGTACCAGATAAATGAGACGGCCCTGTGCCCACAGGACCCGCTGTGGGTGTGCCTCCTGGAAACCAGCTCGGGCCAAGGAGCCCCAGGTGGCCTGCTGCTCCTGGACATCAGCGTCTTGCTTCGATTCCAGATGTGCTTCCAGGCGCTGAGAAACCCCAATTCTGATTGCTCAGGAACTCTGAGAGTGTCATGTAGTATGCAAAAACTGCCACTTGGGTGGGACTGCCTGAAAGGCCGCCACGGCACTCGTGTTCATGGTCGTCAACGATGCTTGTCTCATTTTGTCTTCGCGGTCCGTGTCGGTGTGTGCACCCTGGGAGGGTGTGTTTGAAGAGTCATCTTAAAGCAAAGATAGATTTTGGTTTTCTTCTAGAGTCATTAAGCAGGTTTATTCCTTTGAATTCATAATCTGAAAACCGTAGATTTGTGTTGTGTGCCGAACGGGTAGAAGTTGGAAGTGCATTCTGTGTAAAGATGCAGCAGTTGTGTCAGGGACTCTGGGCCACTGGAGAATTGTAGGAATTGGTTGGTTTTAAAGCCTTACACCCCAGCAGGTACCCACAGGCGGGCCTGTGAGAACGGTGGCCGTGGGGGGCGGGTGCTGAGACCCAGTCTTGTGTGTGCTTGCAGGAGGGCGTGAAGACAGAGAACGACCACATCAACCTGAAGGTGGCCGGGCAGGACGGCTCCGTGGTCCAGTTCAAAATCAAGAGACACACCCCGCTGAGCAAGCTGATGAAGGCGTACTGCGAGAGGCAGGTGCGTCCCACCTGCGCCCTGGCCCCCGTGCCTCTGACGATGAGCAGTGGCTCCATGACAGCAGCCGGTGCCCAGCTGCTCCGGGCTCTGCTGTCCTGGAAGTGTGTGTGTGTGTGTGTGTGTGTGTGTGTGCGTGCATGAGTGTGCGCATGAGTGCACATGCGTCTGAGTGAGTGCGCATGCATGAGTGTATGTGTGGGCGTGCGTGTGCGTGAGCGTGTGCACGAGTGTGTGCACGTGTGCGAGTGCACGAGCGTGCATGTGCGGTTGCGTGTGTCTGTGCACAGGCACGCACGCCGCTGGCTGGCTGTTTGCTTCCGCTCCTGTTGGTCTTCTGTCTGGCGGCGCGTCAGCTCTCGCGTCCACAGCCGTGTCACACTGCTTTTCCTCCGGAGTCCGGCATGTGTGGCAGCGTCCCTCGGATGCGCGGGTTGCACAGTAGTGGACACGTTCCTTCTCGCAGTGGCTGGAACACGTCCGCGGAGACACGGCCGGCCGTCCTCACAGCTCGGTTGCGGAGAGTGCCTGATTTCTTCCCTTCACTCACCGGCACCGGCAGCGGCGGGCCAGATCCCGTGCCCTGCCGGTGACAGCCTGACCCTTCACGGTCGTTGTTGTCAGTGTCTCCCACACACGGGTGCTCTGACCCTCGCTGCCCGTGGTTCTCACTCACACGCGGGGACCCGAGGCGCCCCCGTCCGTCCGCGCGGCGCGGGCTCTTCCCCGAGGCTCCCGGTTCCTCCGAGCGGGGGGCAGCCTGTGTCCGTGTGCTGTGCACGCCCTGGTGCTTGGCCGGTTCTGCTCGTGGCTCTCCTTGTGCCGGGCCTGGGGCTTCTGTGGTGACGAGAAACCCTGTAGGAAAGCTGCGTGCCTTCGTGCCCCCCGTTTTCAGACCTGCTCTCAGAGGCCTTCCCTGCCCTCCTCGGCGACGGCCTCCTTTTTTACTCTTTCTCGGTAGGTGTGTTTCAGTTTGTTTTTTCATGTGTTTGGCTTTAGACGTTATTGTCCCCTAAGAAAGGTGGCCATGCCGCTGACACTGCCCTCCGCGCTCGCTCCTGCCCGCGTCCTGCCAGGAGATGGCTCGGGACGTGCTGGATTCTGCCGCGGCCGAGGCGGCGCACAGCGGCCTGCCTCACGTCTGGCTCTTGTCTGCCTCGGGGTCTGGGGGTCGTGTGTGGTTTTCCGGGTGTTTGTGTGAATTCATCCCCCGTGTTCTCCACCCGCCGCCCCGGGGGCACGTTCCTGCGGTCCCAGCCGCCCCTCCCTCCCTGCCCCGCCGCAGGGCTGTCCTCGTAGAACCACCTCAGAGTCGTTCCTTCTGGAGACTTCTTTGGCCTCCCTCCTGTGTATTTTCTGGATTAATCTTCCCCTGTTTCGGCAGAGCGTGTCTTCCAGCATCTTGCTCTGAAAGGGTTTATAAAATGCAGCGTCTTTGAGGTATTGCGTGTCTGATGGTGATTTACTTTTCATAAACCTTCACGCTTGACCATTTCTAAATTGAAACTCAGTTTCTTTTTTTGGATTTATCACATGGTCTTGTTCTTCTGGTTTTGGAGTGGCAGGTGCAGTTAACATTCTGATTCTCTGCCCTTTGATGTAACTTTGCTCTTCTCGGGGCTTTTGGGACCTTATTCTGTGTCCTGAAACATCACTACCGTCCCCCCCCACCCACCCCAGGATCAAGGGTCGAGGGCTCCACCCACGGAGCACTTCCCAGGTGGAAACTTGTTTTTAGTTGAGGAAACACCGCTTACGTCCTCTCCCGTCCTGCCCCCTGTGCTCGGAACGCCCCTGCACCTTGGAGCCCCTGTTCTGGGCCTGTCCCTCGGGAGCGTCTCTGCCCACCTGACATCGGGCTTGGTTGTTGTTGCTGTTGGTTTTCTTTCTGGGAGTTCTTTCAACTTATTGGTCCCACCTTCTGTGGACACTCTTGCATCTGCCACAGTTTCCAATTTCCAAACCTTCATTCTTTCTTATTCTTTGAGGGTTCCTTTCCCCAGTAGCAACTATGTCTCGTTTTTTGCCTCCCTGAGGATTTCAGTGTCTCTCTGTGTCCTCCGGCCCCTCCCTTCCCGTGCCCACTGTTCCTTCCTCGTTGGTTGGACGGCTCGCGCATTTGAGCCTTTCTTTCCATGTCCCCAAGTCCTTGGTTAACTGCTCATATCTAAGAACGAATCCCAAAAAGCTGACGAAAAGCTGCATGCGTAGAGCCTACAAGCCACGGTGGGGTGGCCTGCCAGGCTTGGTGGTTTTCGGGGGACGGGGCTCGCAGGTGTTGCAACCTGTGAGTCATTGAATTTCCCAAAGTGGACCTCCCAGGCTCCCGTCTGTGCCCTGGGCGTGCGGCTGGACAGGGAGAGGGGGCTTGGTTGGCGGTGCTGTCACTTGTCCCTGGTGTCCTGAGCCCAGGGCTCAGAGTCCACGTCTCCAGAAAGTAGATCTTTTGCCCGTGGGAGGGACAGTGCCTGGCCGCTTGGGGTTGGGGGAGGCGCCTTGAGCTGGGGGTCTGAAAGGACCTTTCTTGTGTCAGCTTCCAAGCAGGCATCCAAAATCAGCCCCCAGGCCCCTGGGGGTTCTAGGCCCTGTGGCCCCTACCCCCACCCTGACCTTGGGGTCTAGTAGCCATGGCCCAGCAGCGCCCAGCCGGCGGCGGTGTCTGCGTCTCCTCCTTCTTCCTGTTCTCTTCGTCCCTGGGGTTCATGCCTTAATTTTTTGGTATCTTTTCAGGAGGGAGCAGAGATGCATGTTTTCATCCTGCCTGTTCCGTTTAAGTGAAATCAGAATCACTTTTTAAGAGGGGATATTTGTCTTCCCCGACCATGTTCGTCCTGCCCTCGGGACACAGGAAGTCTGCACATGCTCCTTGCTGGACGGAAGACGCTCCGCTGGGCCTCCCGCGGGCCCCGTGGCCGGGGCTCCTTCCCGCTCGCACGCGGTCCTGTGACCTAGGCCTCACTGTCACCTGACGGCTTCTCCCACGGAAGTTCTTAGAGGGTGGTGGTGCCAACGGTGTGAAACTTCTGCTCGATTCTGGAGGGAAGTGGGGGAGGGGCGGGGCAGGACCCCGGGAGCTGGAAGGTGTGAGAGCTTCTGGAAGCATCCGTGCTGGGCATCACGTGAAATGGATTGTGGGTCCGCTGGCCTGTTTTTATAATCAAGTGGATCATAAGTCTGTATGTTCAGAATTCTGATATTTTAAGATAAATGTTTTATTTTTTGGAATTAAGGTGTTATCTGGAAATATCTAATGATAATTGGTTTCTCTTTTCAGGGCTTGTCAATGAGACAGATTAGATTCAGGTTTGATGGGCAGCCAATTAACGAAACAGACACCCCCGCACAGGTATGAAAACCAGCCGCCTGCACTGAGGGGCTGCTACGGCTCGCGTCTGGTCACCGCCACGTGGGCGCCCACATAGAATACTTGACGTTTCTTAATGGCTTTAATGAGTAGGTTATTTAATTTTTAAATTTGGAGTTCAGTTTTCCAAACGAGGCAAGTGCACTTGGTCAGACCTCATCCTCCATGCTGGGGGATGGGGCGAAGGACCAGGTGCTGACAGTGGGTCCAGGGTCACGGGCTGGGGCCCCCCGCTCCGGCCACCTGTCCTGGCGCCTGCCCCTTGTATCTGGACACCGGATTTGCAGCTAAATTGCTGGCCTGATTCTTGTGCCCTTTCGGTATTTATACACAAGGGGTGTGGGCGGGAGGGACAGGCACACACGCACGCACACACACACACACACACACACACACACACACCGTCACCCGTCACGTGGTGTTTGCTCACCGCCGCCCACCACACACCCATCCCGTTACCTCCCTTCACACTGCAGGGGGAGGGCGTTGGGCCCGGAAAGAGGAGGCTGAGGTCAGCGGCTCTGCGGCCATTTGTCAGCTGGGCGACCTTGTGATCGAGAGCCACTGACCCTCTTGGAGTCCCATCTTCTCTGTAACGGGGATGCCTGTTTCCTGTCCTGCACAGCGTTGTGAGAATCCGTCAGAGTGGGTCACGTGGCAGGACCGCACAGCAAGAGACTGTGTGTGTGTGTGCGTGCGCGTGCCCGCTCTAGGAGGGCTCACACCGCTCACGCGGGGCGCCGGGCTGCAGGGGGTCCTGGGAGTTGGGAGGCTGGAGGAGCACCCTGGCTCTCCTGCCTGCCCGTCGTTCTTGCTGCCGCTCAGGTGGTGTCTGAGCCTGGGAGGGGCCCTGCTGTCCCAGCCTGAGAGCATCCCTGGGAAATGTTACTGCTTCCAGCCTCGGTAGTCTCTGTCTGAATGGGCAGGGATCAGGGTAGATGTTTGTGTACCCCCTGAGCCAGGAAAAAAAATCCGGCAGCAGGAAACGTTTGCACCATCCCCACCCTGGTCTTGAAGGAGAGGGAAGGAGCCGAGTGGCAAGCCAGCAGTGCTCCCTTGCTCTAGCAGATCCTCCTTGTGTGATGTAGCTTGCTTTGGAGTCCACGGGCATGGCCCGCGGCACTTATGATGAAGCCTGTGGTCCTACTGGGCCCCAGGAGTCCACACCGCTCATTAGATACTCCTAGGTGGAATGGGATTTTGTGTCATGTTCAGTAAAAATTTTAGACACTTATTTATTTTTTTAAGATTTTATTTACTTATTTGACAGAGAGAGACACAGCGAGAGAGGGAACACCAGCAGGGGGAGTGGGAGAGGGAGAAGCAGGCTTCCCGCAGAGCCCGGAGCCCGATGCGGGGCTCGATCCCAGGACCCTGGGACCATGACCTGAGCCGAAGGCAGACGCTCAACGACTGAGCCACCCAGGCGCCCCAGACACTTGTTTAGTTTTTAATGAGACTTAGTTTTCTTTTTAAAGATTTTATTAATTTTAAAGTAATCAGTACACGCAACGTGGGGCTTGAACTTATAACCCTGAGATCACGAGGCCCATTCTCTACTGACTGAGCCAGGCAGGCGCCCCCGGAGGCTTAATTTTTCTATCAAAGTCCTTAGCTTTGACTCTGCTTTTGTGAGTGCTGTGAGGGGAAGCTTGGTGGATGAATAGGGCTCATTGGAACCCACAGCTGGGCATCATTCCCTGCATGGCACACACGTGGAGAGGCCGCCGCGCACAGGTGCGGTTGGGACGGTGTTCTCCAAGGGGAGGAAGACTGTGCAGTGAACCTGCGTATCCGTTCGGGTGGGCATTTTGCATTCCCGGGATGGCGAGGGAACTAACCGCTTTCCCCTCTCTCACCGCGCCGGTCCCGATGACCCGGTCAGCTGGAGATGGAGGACGAAGACACCATCGACGTGTTCCAGCAGCAGACGGGGGGCTCGTGGCAGAGCGGCTGTCTCTGTCCCCTCCGTGTCGTCCCTGCATCTGCTGAAGAGTGAACAAGTGACCATACCCATCACCACGGAGTCTGCGGAAACCTGGGGACAGTCACCAAAATTACTTCCCTCTCTTTGACATTTTGTGAGGGCAACTCAGAACTCTGGTCTGCAGGGGGGAGCCTGCAGCTGGAAGCGGGCCAGTCACACTTGTCTTTGTTGGGGTGAAGTGAGTTGTGAGGGGTTTCGGGTTTGTTTTTGCTTTCATTTTTGTTTTTTCTCCCCTCTAACTTTG